AAAGAGTATTGTTTCTACACTGTGTTGTTATAGAAACTGGGCAAAGCTGGAAGGTAAAGGAGAATATGTGTAGCTCAGGGTTGAAATGAGGGGTCGTTGGTGCTCTCTGAGCTTGCTTTTTTTCTCGCAGAGGTTTCATTACCCTAAGTAGGTAACTTCATCAGTGCTAGTTCTGGAAGCTGAAAGGTTGAGATACAAAGCTACAGTTTGAGGAAAAACATTTTGATTACAATTAGCATTATTTATCTCTAACTCATAGACTATAATTCTTTCTTTGTGAACTTCTGACAAAAAATACTAACAATATCATTATCACTGTAGATTAAACAAAGTATCTACCTGAAACACACTGACAAATATTTATCTTGTACATATTGACAATATAGTGATTTCTACTATATCATAGTTTATTGTAGAGGTGGAGGGGGTGGGGGGAGTTTTTGGCAATAAGTTAGACAACATGGCTATATTGGAGCTTCTTAACATATGTTGGCAGCCTATCACAGTGGAACATAATGAACAATTAAAGGAAGTGAAAAACAGTGATGTTGGATATGAAAAGCAAGCATGATTTTTCATGAACAATGCTATGAAATATTAAAAATCCAATCACTTTTAATGCACTTTCTGGCATGGGAAGTATAACAGAATTTAATATTAGCTATACACAAATATGAGTTAGAATGTCACTGCTCCAATGTAATGATGTTTGGGATGCATGTTAAGAAATGCCATTTTCAGATGCGTTTAATCAATTTCACTATTACAGTTGCTATCTGAAATGGTTCCACTCAGTTTTATATAATACTGTACTTTATTACCACATAAAGCAAAGCATTTATACAAATAAATACCATGAGAACATACACATGACAGAAACACCAAAAATGTTTGCCTATGTCCATGATGACAAAGAATCACAACTGTACTATTAATCCTATTCTGTGCTAAACAATATGAAAGTATTATGAATTAATGAATATGGCTACACGGTGCTATAAATTTTCATAGATTAAGTACATTGATAGAAAACATACCGAAGGGTATTACATTTCCTTGAAAGTTTTCTGCAGTTCAGATTAAGTAGTAGTACTGTGCAACTGAAAAGGAATATTGTCCATAAACACATAAATAGCAATTACAGATATTCCTCGACTTATAACTATTTGTTTAGTGACCATTCAAAGTTACAATGGTACTGGAAAAAAATAGCTTATGACCATTTTTTACACTTACGACTGTTGCAGCATCCCCACAATCAAAATTTGGACACTTGGCATCTGGTTCATATTTATGACAATTGCAATGTTGCAGTCGGGTATTGGGAACTTCTGACAACCAAGTCAATGGGAAAGCCAAATTCATTTAACAATCATATTACTAACTTAGCAACTGCAGTGATTCACTTAACAATTGTTGTAAGAAAGGCTGCAAAATGGAGCAAACTTAACTATCTTGCTTAGCAACACAAATTTTTGGTTCAATTGTGGTTGTAAGTTGAGGACTACCTGCATATTGAATAAATCAGCATTCAAATAATTCAATTTCATAGCATTAAAATCATATAGCACAAAATACTATATTTCCAGCTTCCTTTGTGCTACACCATTGACCACTTAATCACTTTAAAGCATTGTCTAACTATCACTGAAGCAATATGATGTCTGTGCTCATTACTGTTATATTAACACAACGATAACCAAGAAACATGTAGTAAATACGTAGTGGTAAAATTTAGAAAATATATACCCTTAGTAAGGTGCTCCAAACTAAAAGATATAGAATTGAATAAAAATAAGTACTAATATCATGATTAAGTATTGTAAAATCAATGCATACCAGTCATATGCTAAAACCAAAGCAACATGTCTATGCACCATGTAACAGAGGTCCATAATCATTTTTTTAATTGAAACCCGCCAGGTTTCACTTATAACTAGACATTTCGCTGGAAATATCTGATGCAAGGTCACTAAACATAATTTAAAAATATTTTAACCAGGATAGTCTCAAAGGAGCTTTTCAAAAAGGCAACTGGGCTTTATTTTTCCGTGAAGACATTTTGCTTTTCATCTAAGAAGCTTCATCAATTCTGATTGGATGTGCTGGGAGGATGGAAGGATTAGTTCTGATAGATGCTGTAAAATCTGTCTGACAGAGCTAATCCTCCCAATCCCACCACCATTCAGTTAGAACTGATGAAGCTTCTTGGAAGAAAAGCGAAACATCTTCAAGGAAAAACAAAGACAGCTGCCTTTTGAAAAAGCACTTTTGAGACAACCATGACCTGGCTGACTGAGACTCTCCATAGACATTTAAACAGAATAATGTTGCTGTTTAAAAATATACTGCATATCAATGGTGGAATTGGCAAAACCGTGGCATTCTGTCTCATGGATAAACCAGGTGTGCAGAAGTCAATTCTATGGAGTTCAATTAAGTTTACTTTCGGGGAATTCCAGGCTCTCTATTAAGATTCATGCCATGTAGCAAACCCAACACCTGATTTCCATAAGGAAGAAAATGACAGGTGAGTTTTCACCCATCTGATCAACTCCAGGTGCACAGAATTACAACTCCAGATGCAGCTAATCTTAGAAACTTCTGGAGTTACAGTCGGACAGAGCTGAAGGGCATTATATCTTGAACATTGATGCTTGTGAAAACCCTGTCCTAGCTGCGTATGCCCAAAGCTGATGATTCTAAGCAATTCGGTTTGGAATTTAGAATAGAACAGAAAAGAAATAGAATAGCACAGCATAGAACAGCAGAGTTGAAAGGGACTTTGGAGGTCTTCTAGTCCAACCCCGATTAGGCAGGAAACCCTACACCACTTCAGACAAATGGCTATCCAACATCTTCTTAAAAACTTCCCGTGTTACAGCTTTCACAACTTCTGGAGGCAAATTGTTCCACTGATTAATTGTTCAGGAAATTTCCCCTCAGTTCTAAGTTGCTTCTCTCCTTAATTAGTTTCCACCCATTGCTTCTTTTCCTGCTCTCATGTGCTTTGGAGAATAGTTTGACTCTCTCTTCACTGTGGCAATCCCTGAGATATTGGAACACTGCTATCATGTCTCCCCTAGTCCTTCTTTTCATTAAACTAGACACACCCAGTTCCTGCAACTATTCTTCATATGTTTTAGCCTCCAGTCCCCTAATCCTCTTTGTTGCTCTTCTCTGCCCTCTTTCTAGAGTCTTTATATCTTTTTTACACTGTGGTGACCAAAATTGAATGCGGTATTCCAAGTGTGGCCTTACCAAGGCCTTATAAAGTGGTATTAGCACTTCACGTGATCTTGATTTTATCCCCGTTTATGCAGCCTAGAATTGTGTTGGCGTTTTTGGCAGCTGCTGCACACTGCTGGCTCCTATTTAAATGGTTGTCCACTATGACTCCAAGATCCCTTTCAGTTACTACTATTGAGCAAGGTACCACCTATGCTGTACCTGTGCACGTTGTTTTATATCATTAAAAATCATTACTCCAAAAAATATTAATTAATGAAGTTTTCTTAGCTACCTGCATACACGAAAGTGCAGGAACCCAAGGAACCCCGTGTTCAAGCATGCACCAAGCCCCGTTTCTCTTGTGGAGGACCGCAGGCAAGGGAATTACTCACACCATACAGAACACGTTGATACTCGTGGTGACGCCAGACCACGCAGCAACCTGGCGAAAACCGGGACTAGCAAAACGGGAGCACAGGCTCCCTCCCCTCCATTAAGGAAACGTATAACCCGGGCACGATTTAAAGGCTCAGCTCACCTTTTGGGTCTCCACGCGCTGAGCCCGAAGAAATGCCACGCCGGGTCAAGCCTCCCTCGAGAAACTGCCCGCCGCTGCGATTACCTGACGACGCTCGCAGCGCGTTCAGGCCGGCTCAGGCCTGGTGCAACTTCCGGCGAGTCCTCTTGAAACCGTTCCCCGCGAAAAAAGAGTCCTGGTCCCGAACTGCCCCGCCTCTTCTTCCGAGCATACGCGCGAGGCGGGTGGTGGGAGGGTGGTGGTGGTTAAAAAAAAAGGCCCCCTGGAAGATACGGCGGTTTGAATTTTCTTTTTCCTTGGGAAACGCCCACCGAGAGCGCGGGGAAGTTAAGAGGCCGCTAATGCGAAAGTTATTCTGTGGGATTTAAAAAACAATCCCCCCCCCTCTTAGTTTTGGGGCGTGGGAAATGTAAGACTGCCGATTTAAGCCATGGCTCCAGATTCATTCCTCCAGAGGAGGATTTCTCTTACTAAACACTGTACGCTGCCTTGAGGCTACTATAGTCCTAGATGCAATTCTTTAAAAATAAATCCTGTTGAGTCTCCCGAGGGGATGATCTACTACTGCAAAGTAACTCCCGAGGTATTTTCCTCTAAAATTTTGCTTTGGGGGTCTCTTTCATTGCCATTTTACGGTATCAAAACTGGTTCATTCCATATGTTTGCCGAGAGGGAACGGAGGTATTCTACATTCCTAAATACAGTTTTATCAGCTCGGTATTTTATGTAATTTTCTTAAGAACTGGACAAGCAAATTAGTTTTAAACAGCTAATGAATTTTAAATAGCGTGGTTTAAAACTGATCCCTTTACTCGCTGGAGGTAGGCATTATGCATTTCTTGTGTTTAAGACTTGTGCATGAATTCTTCATTAACATGTTTAGTTAAAGGGCTCTTTGGCAGAAAGAGTTTGGGAACCTTAAATGTGTTAGGTCTAGTCAGTCATTCCTAAGAACAATAAGCTGTTAAAATTAATTGTTTGGGCAACGGGGCATGTAGCAAACAAGGCTAATAGCATATGTACTCTGCAACTGGGAGTATTTATCCTCCACGAACTTCTTTGTACTAAAGTTGTTTGCCCATCCCCACGCAAAAAAACAAAATTTCACATTGTAATTAATATCTCCATGAAACATTTCTTATTTTTTTGCTGAATCTTTCATATTCAGCTTTACTAAATCATCTTTGATTCTGTTACTTATTTTTACAATATATAAATATATATCTTTTTTTTTTAGATACTCAAAAGTGAAGGCACTGGCACTTAAAATGTACACTACAAAACTGTCATTATCAAACTGAATTGAAACGGTAAAGCTCTGACTGAAGAAAATGATCCAGGTGCTTTTTCTGATATTAGAAAAACAGACTGAAAAAGAGTTCTGTTCTACAACTTGGGACCTGCATGGCTTTCCTTTATGTGTACAAGAAATGGACCTTAGAAAGTGAAGGTATTTTCAAGAGAGCCTCTCCTGCTTCTGTTAATGTGCAGACAGTTTCATATCAAGATAGACTATTTATCAAGCTTACAGCATCTAAGCTATTAGGGCTTTGAACTTTAAATTTTAAAGTTTGAATTGTGAGGAGAAAATATTTACAGGATTGTGAGGATGCCTAATTGTCAAATTGTCACAGGGTAGTTGTTCCAGTTTCTTGGACAATTTGCAACTTCTTCAGTTATATGGTATCCTTTTTTGTGCTACTTCTAGCAAACTTGTAGATATATTCCAAGTGTGGATGTATCATAGATTGGTAGAAAAGCATTATAATATGGATAGATTCCGTTTTATTTCACAGTTACCTCCAAGCACTTGTATTGTGTCTTTTCCACAGCAGGAGCACAAGTGAAGCAACATTTTTTTGTTGATCTATCTGCCATAAACTCAAGAACCCTTTCGTGGTCAGTTATGCAGTATGTAAGTGAAGTCAGAATTTTGCTCTAATATGCTCACTTTACGTTTGTTTATTCTAAACCATGCTTGGCATTTTCATATTTATTCTTTCACTAATTCTTTTTGTTTAATTATTCTTACTAAACTGATGTTGTCTGCAAACTTAGTCATCTCATTCTTTATTTCCTATCCCAGTTCATGTGTTGGCTAAACCAAATTGTAATTTGTTTGGGTTTTAGCTTTGTATATTGGGTAACTACAGAAATTATGGTTTATAAGTTATAGTCAGTGTCTTAAGAGTATCATGTAAATCCCATTAATTGTGCTTTATTCAATAAACCATTAATTTAAATGTATTGGCTGCCCAACTCCAGTGTTCACATGGAATTATATGAGCCATGGCTTTGTGTGTATTTTCATCTGGCCACAGTGGTTTGGAAACATTGATCCATTAGGATGTACCATGTTTTCCCGATCCCGGAAATAAGCACTTGGCCTTATTTTTGGGGAGGTCTTATAATTTTTGAGGTGCAGGAGGCAGCGAGCATGGTCACCTCAAGGCTGCTGCTGTGTTGGAATATTTTTGGGGAGGGCTTATTTTAGTGCATGAGCTCAAAAGCCCAATTGGGATTATTATCCAGGGAGGTCTTATTTTCAGGGAAACAGGGTATGAAACCAGCTAATTTGTACTTTTCTCAGTAAATAAATATATAATAAAGTAATTTTAAAAGTTGTGAATTGTGAAAGGACTTATATTTGCCTTCAACTTGTGCTTTATTTATCTTTATTTATTCCAGTAGTAATTCACTAGTTCATCTAGAAAAGACATTAAGTAATCAGTCTGTAATTTAGCGGATTCTGATCTTCCCCATGTACTGACATGTTTTTATTTAGCAATAGCAATAACAGTAGACTTATATACGGCTTCATAGGGCTTTCAGCCCTCTCTAAGCGGTTTACAGAGTCAGCATATTGCCCCCAACAACAATCCGGGTCCTCATTTTACCCACCTTGGAAGGATGGAAGGCTGAGTCAACCCTGAGCCGGTGAGATTTGAACCGCTGAACTGCTGATCTAGCAGTCAGCCTGCAGTGCTGCATTTAACCACTGCGCCACCTTGGCTCCTTAGAAGTGCGACTAAGTTCAACCTAAATATACAATTATAGTCTTAGTTTGGATCTGTCCAACTAAAATAGGACAGAGTCGTATTTTTGTTATTTATTCTGGAATTGTTTTAATATTACAGTTAGTCCTTGATTCATAACCACATTTGGGACGAGAATTTCCACTGGTAAGACAGTTGTTAAATGAGTGTTAAGCAATTTTACAAATTGTTGTTATTAAGCAAATCACTGGTTATTAAGTAAATCAGGCAGTTGTTAAGTGTATCCAGTTCCCCAATTGACTTTGCTTGCTGGAAGCTTCTGGGAAGGTTTCAAATGAAGGTCACATGACCCCAGGATACTTCACCTATTGTAAATATATGCCAGTTGCCAAGTGTCCAAATTTTGATCACATAGTCATGGAGATGCTATGAATGTTGCAAGTGCAAGGACTAGTTATAAGCCATTTTTTTCAGTGCTGATGTAACTTTGAATGGTTACTAAATGAATAATTATAAGTTAAGGACTACCTGTATGTAAGGCCCAGTTTGGTATAGTGGTTAAGATATCAGGCTAGAAACCAGGAGACCATGAGATTTTAAAACAGGATTAAATTACAATAAGCTAATTCTCGTAAAATATCAATATAATTCCATATGTGATTACTGACAGCTTCTAACAACTTCAGTGGGACTTTTCCCCTACTAGGTGAATGTAAACATTTCTTCAAAATGGTCTACTTGCTTCTTAAAGAGAAAATTGGAATTAATACAACCACTGAATATAAACAATTTATATGGATACAAATATTGCTGCAGTAAACAAATGTATTATAAGTGGTGAATATGTAAATCAGTTGTTTTATTTTAAAGATTCACATTTCTTTAATAAGTTGATAACTTTGTCATAACAAGTGTCTAGTGAGGTGGGCTGTAATCCATGAAAGTGTGCTGTAATACAAGTATCAGTCAATAACATGTCACAAAACTCTTTACTTGAAAGTAATATCTTGAAATGTCTTTGTTTCCATTGGGATATGTACAAATAAATTGCTCATCCTTTCCTTTATAGATTTTGATATAGAACACAAATGGAAAAAGAAAATTAGGAGTAAAGCCAGATGAATGGGAGGTAAGAAAAAAGGTAATTCTTTTACGATAAAGAGATAATTTTTTAAAGGTAAAGGAAAGAAAATAGAGATAATAACAAAAACAAAAGTATAACAAAAAGGTTATATTCACCAGGCAAAATACCTGTTTCAAGGAACAGCTGATCTAGTTCACTTTCAAAGGTATCCATGCTTTTTAGCAGGTAGCCATTTATACCTCAAACCTCAGTCCCTTGTTTTCAACATTGCCCTCTGTTATTCTTAGTAAATTTAAGATGACATTCCCTCCCTTCCAAATTAATAGTTAACTGTTTGGAGGAAAAGATAGATGGATGGATGAATGGATGGATGGATGGATGGACGGACGGTCGGACGGACAGACAGACATTGTATGTTGATATTTTTGGTCTTCACTTTTATATGTATTCATTTATTAACTTCTATTTCTTATTCCAAAATAACATCAAATAGGTCAATTTGTCCTGAAAAAATTGGATGACACATTCCGTTCCACCTGAGGGTTTATGCCATTCTTACTAAGAAGACAAAAAGGATTAATAAGAAAAATGATGCTATAGTTTTGCAGATTTATTAATAGGGAATCTAAATGGATCTAGGAAGATAACTTTAAAAGTAACCCTCTATTTATTTAATTATTTGATGATGATTAATTAATTATAACTTTCCAATCTGCTAATGTTGCTTTAAAAAACTTGATCTTGCAAACAAAATTGTGCATACTTTTCCCCCCTTTCTTTTGTAATCCTTAACAATTATTCTGAAATCAGTAATACATCTAGTGTGTTAAATCTCTAAAGGAGGATTAGGAGCCATAGGTAGAGCTTCTAAATTCTCCTCAGTTACTTCCTGCTTTCTTTTTCAATAATCCTGCTATCCAAACTGGTTATACAATTGTCTTCATTTTTAAAAAAAAAAAGTAAAACAGAAAACCAAAGCATGTGGGATATATCTCTGTGATGTAGGATGTTTAGAGTCACTTGTTGAGATGCATGGCTACAGAAATTAAATAGTTGGATTATTTTTATGTCAAGGACCAAGAAGGTATCACAGTAAAAATACATAGTTAGTGGTGGTAGAATTGTGTATAATAAATAAATAGAGGCAGATTAATACCTGATTAATAACGGAAAGCAAGTAGTAAATAATAGCAAATAGCGAATAATAACGGAAAGTAATAATGGAAAGTTTCCCACAGTTGACAAAAAAGTAACTCTCCCATGTAGCTCTCCAAGGAACTGTTTTGGGAACAGGCCTTTTCAAATTCATGAATGAATGTTTTTTTCTGGGTTTTCTGGCGATAGGACACATTATTTAAAATAGCTAAAAGTGAAAGATAATTCAAGCATTCTCAAAAAAAAAGTTCAAAATTTAGGAAATGTGTATTTTAAACACAAACTCTCTGTTCCCTAATTTAAATATATAAAGGGGTGGGCTGTTGGGGGTTCTCACGGGTTGGGGTGATCCTCTAGCTAGGATTCTGCCCAGCTGGCGAACCCCCAAATGCCACTCCTGGCTGGCCACATCCACCACGCCCCTCCCAGGAGTCTCCATGAGGCCTATTCATCATGCCAGGTAAGTGCAGGACCCACATGAAAGCTCAGGGAGGGGGGAAATGGACCTGTTTCCGGCCTCCAGAGCCCAGGGGGAAGCAATTTTTGTCCTCAGGGAGGCTCAAGAAAAGCTTCCAGAGCCTAGGGAGCCCCCCCCCCCGGCTATAGTGCAGGAGGCCCACCATGCCACGTCCACCCAGCAACGAGACAGCTCGAACCCGTTGCTGCAATTTTTGAAGCCCATCCCTGTATACACATAGGATCTGATTTGTCAATGACTGACCAGGAAAGGACTAATGAGGTTCTGGTACATAGTTTGATTAAAAACTATAACTGCTGTTCAACAGTACATTTCATGTTTGACTTGCTGAGAAAAGGGTAAAAAAGCTGCTTGTATTATAGTACCGTATTTTCACGACTATAAGCCGCACTGAAAATCCTAAAATTTGATCAAAAACAGTCAGTGCGGCTTATAG